AGTCCTAAACCGAAAAAACAATACAATTTGGAAACCAATGACAAAAATTAACTACAAATTGATTATAAATTAACAGTAAAAGTTATTATATTTGCAATAAATGGACAAATATAAATAGATTTATAGATGGATAAGGTATTTTCTCTAGTGTTACAAGCTGCATATCGCGTAATCAGGGAACGGAGCCAAAGAAGGTCCCCCCTCATTTTTTTTTTTGGCGTTACTATTTACCGTCCCTTTTATTACTAGTCACCGCTCTCCTTGGACGATTTTGCCCTTCTCATTCGCACAATGTCCAGTAGCTCTGAGGTATGTTTCAATTGGCGACCGGTAAAGGAGACCGGTCGCCTGCGGGCCGTACGGGAAAAGGATACCGCACAGCCCGCCCCGCGTCCGGTCCGACCGGCCGGACGCGGGTCCAGATTTTTTTTAAAAAAAAAATTAAAATTATTTAAATTGTAAAAAAAAAATACCTTCTTAGAGAAGAACGCTTTGCCGAGACCGTAGGCTCGTATGGCTCGTTGAAGATTCGGTTTTAGATAGATACATAGTTTAGAGAGAGAGTAGAGAGAAATAGAGTAAAGGTTATTTTTGTAATTGGGGGAGGCGGTGACTAGTAATAGGGGGCGATAAATAGCAATTCACTTTTTTTTTTTAAGTATATATATATATATATATTAGTAATTAACTTTTGAAAATATGTAGAAAAATGCAAAAACTATATACAATATATTAGTAATTAAAATTTAATTTCTATGCTATTTTAGTATAAATTAATATTATTTTTTTATATTAAAAAATGTACTAGCAATAGTTATATTTTGCATTTCTAAATAAACTTTTGAAAATATTTGCAATGATTTACACTTTCGGCCTATTAATTGTAAATCAATTTAATGATTTATAAAACATAAAGTATTTAGTCGGATTGTTATATTTATGAATGTTGAATTTTCATTTTATTTTTTTTTTTTGTGTAATCACATATTGTATTAATTTTTTAAAAAAAATATTATAAGCTCTCTCAACAAAAATGTTATGCAATGTGCTGCAAAAGTAAAATTTAAATTAATTTTTCAACCAAAAAAACTTATTTTTCCATAAATTATAAATGTTGCACTTAAATTATAAATACATGAATTTTTTTATTTTTTTTTATTTTTATTAAGTTTGGGGTGATACGGATTCTAAGTATTTAAAAATACAATGGTAAATATATATATATATAGTAAATACATTTGTATATTAAATTACTGTTTCGACTTAAACTACATTATTTAACATTTCAAATCGGACCCCCAGAGTTAAATTTTTAAATACGTCACTGCGCGTGATGTATCGTATTTTTGTCCGCATGTTGTGTGTCTGATAAGCTACTTGGGCATGAAAAATTATCTACCTATATCTATATCTATATCTATATCTATATCTATATCTATATCTATATCTACATAAAAAGGTTGTTGAAAAAATACATTAATAGAAAGTTTGACCAAATAAATATAATTTTTGACTTACTATTAATGGAAAGTTCAAAAAAATACATGTGAATCCTTAAAAAAACCTAAATCCTATTTTGTTGGTAACAATTTGGAGATTTTATAGCAAAATTTGAATCCCCTTTTTTTGTATCCTATTTTATGTTTTTACCAAAACTTAAATCACATCTTTTTTGGTAACATATTTGGAGATTCTTATGCAAAAAATGTGTCAATTATTTATGAAAATAATTTTAAATACAAATTAATTTAAAAACCGTGCAAATTGGATATAAATTAAGGAAGCAAATAGTTTTATAATTCTTAACTAATTCTTCCAATCTTATTGGATAATTTTTTCTTTCAAAAAATTTGTGCAAATTCATAAAGTCGCGTGCAATTTTTATTTTAAAATAAAACTGATATTTGGACGTGATGTACATTCAAATTGTGTCCACGTTTTTTGGTAGGGTTATGCTACATAGCCAACCTCCATTACAACTTGGTTTACAACCAAGTGTAATGGAGGCATTAAAAAAGTATTTTTTATATTTTTTTAATGCCTCTATTACACTTGGTTGTAAACCAAGTTGTAATGGAGGTTGGTTAAGTAGCATAATTCTTTTTGGTAACAAAAGCGGTTCATCATGGATATTTAAAGTCACCTTATCAAATTATTTTGGAAAAATTGTGTGCAACTTTTCAAAATCTAAATGCATAGATTTTTTTGGATTCTTATGTTTTTTTATTAACTATGTTTTACCGAGATTTTGGTAAGTTCATACGATTTATTTTTTGGTTAAGTCTATTTTTTTGTTTAGGAAATAGACAGTTGCATAAACATTAACAATTTAATTCAATTTTTTATTAAAATTATTTTCAATTCAATTTGTTTGGTACAAAAATCGATGCAACGTTAGAAAAATTTGGTTGCATTTTAGGAAAAATTGATTATTTTTTTATTCAATTTTTGTTTGATAAAAAAAACAGTTTATTGGTAGAAAAATCAGTTTCATTTCTAGGAAAAACTAATAATTCTTTTCAATGTTTCTTAATTGAAATTTAGAATTAAATTTAAAATAAATAATGGGTAAAAATCTTTAAAAAAATGTGTCAATTATTTATGAAAACAATTCTAAAAACGATGGGTAAATCTTGATTAATTTATTTATATATTTAATTTATAACACAATCATAATATTGTTTTCCCGTGCATCACACGAGCCACACATTAGTTGTATATAAAAATATTGCGTATATTTTATGCAACAAAAATAAGTATTTAATTCAACTGTTACAATTGTGTCCAATAAATTACATTTAAGCATTATTTCTTAGAAGTTAGAACATATGACTATTAAATTGGGTTATTTTAAATGCTAATTCACGTTTTTGAGTACTTTTACTCGATAACTAGTATGAATCCGTGCGATGCACGGGTAAATGATATTCATTAATATTATAAATAAAAAATACTCATTAAACCGGCCAACCACCTGCGAGCACGGGTAAAAGATATTCATTAATATTATAAATAAAAATACTCATTAAACCGGCCAACCACCTGCGAGCACGCCCATGCCGCCACCTGCCAACCCGTCCGTGCGCCGGTCCAGCTCGCCCCTGCGCCAGTGGTTGTGGCTCGACCTTTGAAACTCGTGCGTCGGCTAGGCCGTGTCAGAGGTGTTTGTGCGTGCCCGAGATTGCTGCGCCGGACGAGCCGGGCCGCACCTAGCCATCGACCGACCGACCGGTTCCAAGCGATCCGTCAGCCTACTACAACCCAACCGGTCAGGGGTTACATAGTAATAAGAGGGACGATGAATAATAACGTGTTAAAAGTCAAGCTTCTCCAAATCCCGGGGCTTTTGTTTAAAAGGGAGAGTCAAAGGGGTCATTTATTTAAATGACCCTTTCAACATTTTTTTTGTTTAAGTAATCTCCACTTTAAATAAAGTGAAATAAATAATTGCAATACCTAAAATATCCTTATGTGTTATATGACAATAATGTTCTTTTTCTATTTTTGGTTACCAACTTTGTAATAATAAAAAAAAAATGGATCAAAACTTCTATCGTTCAATCTCTCTTGCTCTCGCTCTCGCCGGTTTCTCTCTCGGTCGCTTCTCTCTTTTGGTCGCTTGCTCCTCTCTCTCTTGTTCTTATTCTCTTGAAAATGTGGGAACAAAATATAATCATTACAAGTAATCTTTGAATTTCAAATTGCAAGAAAAATGTGGTGATGTTGGAATTAAATCATGTTATTTATCGTTATTTTGGAGATAAAACATTTTAGTTCATAATTTATGATTGATAAACATGTTTGGTTCATATTTATCATATTTTTGTGGCTTTGAAGTTTTTTTTTTTATTTTTTTGTACATAACTAATGTACAGTCGTTATGTAGTTTCATAACGAATGTACATTCGTTACTTTACACCGTCATAATGTCATGGGCGTGGGAAGATATCGCGGGGCGCGACACTGGGGTTGTTCGGTGGGACAGACAACTTGTCAGGATGTCGCGGCCGCGACGCCTGTCGCCGTAGCGACATAGGCAACTATCGCGGGCGCGACTCGCGTCACTGGCGCGACGTTCTGGCAAGCTTTCTGTCCGAACGTAAGCATTCCCAGTGTCGCGGCCGCGACGACTACCGCGCCAGCGACGATATGATTGTGTTATATAACGACTTTAGAATCGTTATCAAGTGTAGATCCATTATTTGATGTTTATTTCCTAACAAGTGTAGTTTCTTTAGAATCGTTATCGAGTGTAGATCCGTTATTCGATTAAAATACACATATACATTCGTTATAAATGACGTTAGGAATTCATTGCCTATACCAAAATTTTTTAAAGAGATAATGAAACTTGTTGTTTTAGAAAATAGGTAGAATTTATATATACGTTATATACTTTTTAATTTGAAAATAGGTAGAATTTAGGAGTTCAATTACACTATAATTGACCGAGATTGCATTAATTTGACTTTAATTGGACTAATTCGAGTTCGATTACATTATAATTGACCGAGATTGTATTAATTTGACTTCAATTGGACTAATTCGAGTTCGATTACATTATAATTGACCGAGATTGTGACCGAGATTGTACTAATTTGACTTCAATTGGACTAATTCGAGTTTGATTACAC